GCGCTAATCCAGTGTATAACTTCAAAATGATATGACATTAACAATGGCCATCATTCATTTCATTCCAAATCCTTATCCTGATCCCTTGCAAGTGCTATATAGCCGTGATGGCATGGCGCTTTCTCCTGATAGCATCAGGAACTATTAGGATATAATACATGTATATGACTGCATGTAGACCTGTCGACAAGTCTGATGGGTTCGGAGCAGGATTAGTAACTGTGTAACTGACTCGCAGCAGATGTAAATTGCCTTGTCTAGAGACTTGTGAACCACTTCATGAATCACTTATGATATAATAAGACCCTGATTGCACTTAATCATACTTGTGTCTGAAGTAAGACGCACAAACAGTAAGATCATCACTGATGGACTCAAGAGTGTGTCTGACGTGTATATCCTCTCCATGCATGGCAGAACTGTTGAGTTACTTAAAACACACATTGTCTTAAGTTGGGAATTGAATAGCTTAAACGGAAAACACATTATTGATTCACGATGTTGAATATAGACAAAAAAAAAAGCTTAACATCAGAACGTTCTCTGGTTGGTCATGTCTCTGTTTTGTCATGTCTCTGGTTGGTAATGTCTCTGGTTGGTCATGTCTCTGTTTTGTCATGTCTCTGGTTGGTCATGTCTCTGGATGGTCATGTCTCTGGTTGGTCATGTCTCTGTTTTGTCATGTCTCTGGTTGGTCATGTCTCTGGATGGTCATGTCTCTGGTTGGTCATGTCTCTGTTTTGTCATGTCTCTGGTTGGTCATGTCTCTGGATGGTCATGTCTCTGGTTGGTCATGTCTCTGTTTTGTCATGTCTCTGTTTTGTCATGTCTCTGGTTGGTCATGTCTCTGGATGGTCATGTCTCTGGTTGGTCATGTCTCTGTTTTGTCATGTCTCTGGTTGGTCATGTCTCTGGATGGTCATGTCTCTGGTTGGTCATGTCTCTGGTTGGTCATGTCTCTGGTTGGTCATGTCTCTGGTTGGTCATATCTCTGGATGGTCATGTCTCTGGATGGTCATATCTCTGGATGGTCATGTCTCTGGATGGTCATGTCTCTGGTTGGTCATGTCTCTGGTTGGTCATATCTCTGGATGGTCATGTCTCTGGTTGGTCATATCTCTGGATGGTCATGTCTCTGGTTGGTCATGTCTCTGGTTGGTCATGTCTCTGGTTGCTATCGTGTGATCAGTGGATCATGGCGTGCCTCTCTGATTTTCAGGTTGAACTCGGGTTTTCTGGCTTTGATTTGCAGGAGGAGAATCGCTGGAGTTAGGTCATCTTTCATCTTTGATTAAACTCGCCTGCGTGAGTGATTTTGTGTGTGTGTGTGCGTGTGTGTGTGTGTGTGCGTGTGTGTGTGTGTGTGTGTGTGTGTGTGTGTGTGTGTGTGTGTGTGTGTATTCACCTAGTTGCACCTAGTTGTGTGTGTGTACACACGTAGTTGTGCTTCCCGGGGTCGAGCTTTGGTTCTCTGGTCCCGCCTCTCAATCATCAACCAACTAGGGTACAGGTTCCTGAGGCTATTGGGCTCTTATCATATCTACCTTTGAAACTGTGTATGGAGTCAGCCTTTATCACATCACTGCCTAATGCATTCCAATTGTTAACTACTCTGACGCTGAGAAACTTCTTTGTCATTGTGTCTCATTTGAGTACTAAATTTCCACCTCTTTTCCACTGCGTGTATTCCTCCGAGTTAAATAATTTGTCTTTATCTACCCTGTCAATTCCCCCTGAGAATTTTGTATGTGGTAATCCTGTCTCCCCTACCTCTTCTGTCTTCTAGTGACGTGAGGTTTAATTCCAGTAGTCTTTCCTCGTAGCTCATGCCCCCCTCAGCTCCGGTACTAATCTAGTAACGTACCTCTGAAAGTTCTCTAAATTCGTCTTGTGCTTGATTAGGTACGGAGCTGCATACTCCAGGATTGGTCTGACATATGTGGTATACAAGGTCCTGAATGATTCCTTACCAAAATTTCTAAAGGCAATTCTTATCTAGGCCAACCGAATATACGCTGCTGATGATAGCCTTTTGATGTTTGCTTCAGAGGACAGATCCGGTGTGATGTCAACTCGCCTGAAGTCGTAAATAGGTTAAGTGGGTTGCTCTGATGCCCTATGGGTTCGAGTTTCCCGCAGGCACCCATGAATTAGGTGTAAATATTTATTAAATTTGTACGTATTTGAGTGTATAAGACAGGAATCATTACGGGCTCACTATTTACCCCTGCTACATGGAAATTTTGTTCCGATTAACTGACTCTAAAACAACAACAACAACGACAGGAGTCATGTAACTATGATGGGTTGAGCCGCGCATCAGGAAGTATGGCCGTGACCTGTGATGTGAGAGAGCCACGGTTGCCTGATTATTCTTCGCGTGTCCAAACTGGAGTCAGAGACTGGAGCCGAGCCAGTGTGTAATGGGCAACGGTCATTCTAACCCATTTTCCTCTTGGCCAGTATTGTTTCACGCAATGGTTATGCTAGAGGTAGAGGGGGGTTGGGGGGCATGAGTGAGGGGGAGGAGAAGCAAGGGAGGGAAGAAAATGATAGGAAGCAATAGAGAGTAGACAGCAAAAGGGGAAGAAGAGAATAAGGGTGTAAATATTAGAGAAGGGTACAATTTTGTTCAATGTCATTGTACAGAATAGTTATTGTGAATATAGAGGAGAAGCAAGGGAGGGAAGGAAATGATAGGAAGCAGGAGAGAGAGAGAGAGAGAGAGAGAGAGAGTAGACAGCAAAGGGGAGGAATAGCATAAGGGTGTAAATATTAGAGAAGGGTACAATTTTGTTCAATGTCATTGTTCAGAATAGTTACTGTGCAGAATTATTGGTATATTGCGTGTCGGGTGTGTTGCAAGAAATATATAAGGATTTTATGCATAATGACGTACTGCCAGGAATCTTAGCGAATTATCCAAAATTTGCTTACTGTAGGTAATGCATGCACATGACTATAAAGCTGCCGCCCAGTTGGGTGGGTTTGGAGCAAGACTAGGATACCTGATCAACCAGGCTGTGATTCATATGTCGGACTGCGAGCAGTATAGCGTCCAACAGTCTGGTTGACCGGATCACCAACCAGGAGGCCTGGGTCAGAGACCGGGCCGCGGGGACGTTGATCCCCACCCCCTCCAGACTCGCCACAAGGTAAGTAACGCAGGTACCTATTTACTGAGAGGTGAACAGAGATATTACGTGAAAGGAAACGTGCCCAACCATTTCTGCCCCGCTTGGGATAGACAATAGCAAAACCAGAACAGATCATTCAACAGAAGACTATTGTTTCAGTGTTCTATATATGAACATGTATATAGTATTTATAATATGTTATATAGTGTGCTATACGAGCTCAAGCTAGAGACATGGAAGTATAGCGAGTACCACGGCATACCAAGCGTGCAAATGTTGCGTTGTATGTGTGTGAAAGTTTATACAACTTGTAGTACATGCAGTGATGGCCGAGTGGTTAAGGCGTCTGACTCGAAATCAGATGGGATCTTCCCGCGTAGGTTCGAATCCTACTCACTGCGACAGTGTTTACATTTTTGGCATTGACTGCGCGACTGTATTCCACATAAACTAGGAATGTGTGGCTTCGGCCGCCTGGTGACGAATGACCAGTTATGAAATCGTACTCCATAGGACGTTTTCCTAGGAACTGCTGGACGATAGTAATCCTTATACTAAATCTAGAATTTTATAAATGTGTTGTTGAAAGTAAAAAATAAAAATAAATTGGGAAGACTGTTGCTGAAAACATCTGTTTTAGATCTGTTGTTAATTTGTTTAATAAAGTGTAGCCATGGCCTTGTATTAATAACGAAAAATGGTAATAATATTGACTGATAATAATGGTAATGGTATGCAAATTGGTCATTTGAGCTTAGAATGAGCTCGTCGGCGGAGATGATGAGTGTGTGTGACTGGTGGTGAGGCGGGGAGTGAGGTCTGGTGGCATACAAATGCTCACTATGCAGGTGCTGGATATGTAGGTGCTCATTATGCAGGTGCTGGCTCTGCAGGGCCACCTGTACAGGTGCTGGCTCTGCAGGGCCACCTGTACAGGTGCTGGCTCTGCAGGGCCACCTGTACAGGTGCTGGCTCTGCAGGGCCACCTGTACAGGTGATGGCTCTTCAGGAAGGTGCAGATCGTATACAAAGTTCCAAGAGAGAGAGAGAAGAGAGAGAGAGAGAGAGAGAGAGAGAGAGAGAGAGAGAGAGAGAGAGAGAGAGAGAGAGAGAGAGAGAGAGAGAGTGAGAGATAATATAGATAACTTCAACCCAAATGTCATTCTTGCTCTGTGTGTGTGTGGTGTCGCCGTGAGTCGAAATGCGGAAAAAAAGAAACTGGAAATAGATGTTTCCAGGTGATGATGGATGGAGTTGATGGACTGATGGAAATAGAGACCATTTAGAAACTTTCTCTACCGGCGTAAATGACAATACGCAATTGAGTGCCACCGTAAGAATGACAAAAACAGATGATAAGGAAGAACATTTTTTTGTAATTAAGAGATAAAGTTCTTCACGAGCCAACGTCTGCTTAGTGGCCAAGTTTGTCCTGGGAAATGGAAAATTTATGTGATCAGTAATTTGATTAAAATAGTAAATGCTTTAACATTACATATTCAGTTTATTTTTATTAGCTTTTATATAGTAGGGGTATCACCTCTGGTGCAACTGGAGGGACCCATAGCCTCGGAGAAGAAATTATAGGGCATTGAGATAAGACCTTGTGAATTCTTCCTGAACATTTCAGTATTTTCTTCTCCTATCACCCTCACTTTTACATTATTTTATACAATTATTATATTATTTTATACAACTATTATTATCTTATTTTATATATACCTAAAATTATATCTTATTTTTGTATTCCCTTTTCTCTTATTTATTCACTATTTTGTTGTATTGTTTCGTTGAAGTGTGTCTCACCGTACAGCCCTGTGTACTATGACTGTGCTGACTCTTGCGTACGGTGACTGTGCTGACCCTTGTGTACGGTGACTGTGCTGACTCTTGTGTACGGTGACTGTGCTGACTCTTGTGTACGGTGACTGTGCTGACTCTCGTGTACTGTGACTGTGCTGACTCTTGTGTACTGTGACTGTGCTGACTCTTGTGTACTGTGACTGTGCTGACTCTCGTGTACGGTGACTGTGCTGACTCTCGTGTACTGTGACTGTGCTGACTCTTGTGTACGGTGACTGTGCTGACTCTTGTGTACGGTGACTGTGCTGACTCTCGTGTACTGTGACTGTGCTGACTCTCGTGTACGGTGACTGTGCTGAGTCTTGTGTACGGTGACTGTGCTGACTCGTGTGTACTGTGACTGTGCTGACTCTTGTGTACGGTGACTGTGCTGACTCTTGTGTACGGTGACTGTGCTGAGTCTTGTGTACGGTGACTGTGCTGACTCGTGTGTACTGTGACTGTGCTGACTCTTGTGTACGGTGACTGTGCTGACTCTTGTGTACGGTGACTGTGCTGACTCTTGTGTACGGTGACTGTGCTGACTCTTGTGTACGGTGACTGTGCTGACTCTTGTGTACTGTGACTGTGCTGACTCTTGTGTACGGTGACTGTGCTGACCCTTGTGTACGGTGACTGTGCTGACTCTTGTGTACGGTGACTGTGCTGACCCTTGTGTACGGTGATTGTGCTGACTCTTGCGTACGGTGACTGTGCTGACTCTTGCGTACGGTGACTGTGCTGACTCTTGCGTACGGGTCATTATAGTGATTAGCGCCAGGAAAGTAATAGTGACTGAGCCTGATGGAAAGTAGTTTCAATTAAATGGTTCACCAATCAAGGTTTCTAATCGCCGGGGACAGGAAGCCTGCTTAGGGATTTTCTTTTCCTTGTTGCCCCTGTTTACTTTTAGGTGAACAGGTGCATGAGGCGGAAGGAAACGTGCCTAACCGTCTCTGACCCACCCGGTCCTCTATTATAAAGCGAGGATGTAGACTACTGCGCTACAGGACTTTCTACACAAGATGTTCTGAAGACCAAGGCTAAATTAAGATTATAATTAAAATTAATTATAATTATAATTAATTAAATTAATTAAGACTAAATTAAGGCTTCGCGCACGTCAGTTGCCACCTGTGGCGCCAGAGGGCACATCTGTGTTGTTTATTTTGGCAACAGTGACGCGAGAAAAGTAACCGTCTCGCAGTGAGTAGGATTCGAACCTACGCGGGAAGATCCCATCTGATTTCTAGTCAGACGCCTTAACCACTCGGCCATCACTGCTTGGAATACTTAACATATAGTGTTGCAAAATAATATTTCTAGGGCTGATAAGTCATCATTCTGGTGTCGGTACTTCCCCCCCCCCCACGTCGGTACTTTCCCCCCTCCACGTCGGTACTTTCCGCCTCCACGTCGGTACTTTCCGACGTGGAAGTGGGAAAGTACCGATGTGGAGGGGGGAAAGTACCGACGTGGCGGGGGGAAAGTACCGACGATGAGGGGGGAAAGTACCGACGTGGAGGGGGGAAAGTACCAACGCGGAAGTGGGAAATACCGACACCAGAATGATAACTTATCAGCCCTAGAAATATTGTTTTGCAACACTATATGTTAAGTTACTCTACATAACACTATATGTTATATTACTCACCTTGTCCTGAGGGTTGAGGACGCTGGAGTACCTGGTAGTAGTGAGGTCAGACGGGGGGGGGGGCAACACTGCCTGCGACGTGCTCACATCCACCAATCTTGCAAGACGTCGTAAACACTTAAGACGGAAAAACACTGAACCAAGGATTGGAGGTGCCGTCAAGTGTGTAATTTCGCCACAGCGGTAAAGGTTTTTCTTCGACTGGTATTTTCAGCCTAACACTAAACTGTACCGAGTCGACACTTAGTCACGTACAGAAGTTGTAGCGTTTCCTGGCCTGGTTTCTTGTTTATTTCCTGCCGATAACAATGCACTTTTTAGGATCCTGCTAGACAAGGAACGATTAATTCAAGTGCCCGGACCCATTATAACATTACAACATCCAGTCCCTGTAACTCACTGTGACAACACTTGCTGCTCTTGTCCGGCAGTGAAGGTGTTCCATTAACACTTTAAACGTTTCCGCCACTCTCGTCACATCACGACCTTCACTAAGCATTGTTAACTCCTTAACGATCTGGGGCAAGATTCACGAAGCAGTTACGCAAGTACTTACGAACGTGTACATCTTTCCTCAATCTTTGACGGATTTGGTTACATTTATTAAACAGTTTACAAGCATGAAAACTTCCCAATCAATTGTTGATATTGTTATAAACAGCCTCCTGGTGCTTCGGAGCTTATTAACTGTTTAATAATTGTAAACAAAACCGCCAAAGATCGAGAAAAGATGGACAGGTTCGTAAGTGTTTTCGTAACTGCTTCGTTAATCTGGCCCCTGCCCCGCGGCAACCCGTCCTCGGACCAAGTCCATTCTATCCAGCGGTCGACCCCAAAGACTCATTCATCAAGTTTAACACTCTCTTCATCCAAAACAGAACTTTTCTCAAATATGAATTAATATTATTATATATATTAGTATATTGTGCATATATAGGCATAGGTTAGGTTAGGTTAGGTGTTTAGGTTCTGTTGGCGATTATTTGTATTTGTAGTACGTGGGTGAAGCATTTATAGCGTTGTGGTTCGAATAAAATTCGTCAGTGAAGCACTTGTTCCGGATATGTTCGAACGTCAGCAGTTGTGAGTCGTGTGTAAACCGCTTTTCATTCATAAACAGGGGGTTTGGCGGGTGTATGGAATCACTTTTGGGTCTTTGTTTGGAGGACGGGCTGAACATTTATAGCGTTGTGGTTTGAACAAAATTCGTCAGTGAAGCACTTGTTCAGGAAGCAGCCCGTCCTCCAAACAAAGATCCAAAAGTGATTCCATCCACCCGCCAAACCCCCTGTTTATGAATGAAAAGCGGTTTACACACGACTCACAACTGATTTCGTTCGAACACTTCCGGAACAAGTGCTTCACTGACGAGTTTTGTTCGAACCACATCGCTATAAATGCTTCACCCACGTACTACAAATGCAAATAATCGCCAACCGAACCTAAATACCTAACCTAACCTATGCCTATATATGCACAATATGCTAATATATTATAATATTAATTTATATTTGAGAAAATTCTTGTTTTGAATGAACAGCAAGTTAAAATTTATGAATGCGTCTGTGGGGTCGACCGCTGGATGTAATGGACTTGAGTCGAAGACGGGTTGCCGGAAGTGTTTGAACGTCAGCAGTTGTGAGTCGTGTGTAAATCGTTTTTCGTTCATAAACAGGGGGTTTGGCGGGTGCATGGAATGGACTTTGGGTCTTTATTTGGAGGACGGACAGTAATTAACAGCCTAGTGTGAGGACGGGTTGCAATAGGAACTCCATATTAACCTTTACTGCGGCGGGTCACATCATTAAGGAGTTAACCTTACTTAGTTAAGGTGGCGTTGTGACGAGTGAGGCGCTGCCTCCGTACGTGACTAAGTGCTGACTCAGGAAAGTGTAGCGTTAGGCTGGAAACACCTGTTGAAGACACTTTACTGCTGTGGCAAAATTACACACTTGTCGGTACTTTCAATCTTTGCTTTAGTGTTTCTCGCCTTGTGTTGAGTGTTTACGACGCCTTGCAAGATCTGAGGATGTGAGTCTGCCGCAGGCAGTGTTGCCCCCCAGTCTGACCTCACTAAACCAGGTACGAACCCCATCAGTTGCTCATTCAACCTTTACTACAAGGTGAGTAATTCCTCGATTCTCAAATGTCGCTTTTTCCGGTAAGTTCACATTTCCATCTGTTTCCATAGCTATAGTTTAGAAATCCAAGTAACCGAGAATGAGAGGTGTTCGGCATTTTCGGACTTGCTATCATTACTATGGATATTTCGTGTGTACGAACAGGTTAGACGTACCCGTATAATAAGCGCCTGAGGAATTCAGGGGCCAGATTCACGAAGTAGTTACGCAAGTACTTACGAACGTGTACATCTTTCCTCAATCTTTGTCGGCTTTGGTTACATTTATTAAACAGTTTACAAGCATGAAAACTTGCCAATCAACTGTTATTATTGTTATAAACAGCCTCCTGGTGTTTCGGAGCTCATGAACGGTTTAATTATTCTAAACAAAGCCGACAAAGATTGAGAAAAAATGTACAGGTTCGTAAGTGCTTGCGTAACTGCTTCGTGAAACTGGCCCCTTGGTAGTTTAACAGTCTCGTTGTGCTTCAGGGACAAAGCTATTAAATTAACTCCATTGTTTGCCATATTATGATGCCCAGTAATTAATCACATCTTAAGTAAAGCGACAGTCGAATAACAATGTCAATTTTTTGAGGAAGTAACTCCATGTAAAAAGGGTGTTATTAAGCTGAGTTAGATTGACGCTGCAGCGTTGACGAAGAGCTTCAGCAGGAATACAGCTGGAAACTGTAAGTGTAAGTTAGCGTGTATTCTGATGAGGTGTTGTATTGCGTCCACATGTGGCGTGTATCCTGGTGAGGTGTTGTATTTTGTCTACATGTGGTGTGTATCCTGGTGAAGTGTTGTATTGTGTCCACGTGTGGCGTGTATCCTGGTGAGGTGCTCCAGGCTCCCACCACCTGAGAATTACCTACGCAAATACAGGAAGATGACGCGGGTAGCGGACATGACATGTACGGACCTATGACCAGGCAGTGTGGGTGGTGTCATGACGGTGCCAGGCAGTGTGGGTGGTGTCATGACGGTGCCAGGCAGTGTGGGTGGTGTCATGACGGTGCCAGGCAGTGTGGGTGGTGTCATGACGGTGCCAGGCAGTGTGGGTGGTGTCATGACGGTGCCAGACAGTGTGGGTGGTGTCATGACGGTGCCAGGCAGTGTGGGTGGTGTCATGAGGGTGCCAGGCAGTGTGGGTGGTGTCATGACGGTGCCAGGCAGTGTGGGTGGTGTCATGACGGTGCCAGGCAGTGTGGGTGGTGTCATGACGGTGCCAGGCAGTGTGGGTGGTGTCATGACGGTGCCAGGCAGTGTGGGTGGTGTCATGACGGTGCCAGGCAGTGTGGGTGGTGTCATGACGGTGCCAGACAGTGTGGGTGGTGTCATGACGGTGCCAGACAGTGTGGGTGGTGTCATGACGGTGCCAGGCAGTGTGGGTGGTGTCATGACGGTGCCAGGCAGTGTGGGTGGTGTCATGACGGTGCCAGGCAGTGTGGGTGGTGTCATGACGGTGCCAGACAGTGTGGGTGGTGTCATGACGGTGCCAGACAGTGTGGGTGGTGTCATGACGGTGCCAGACAGTGTGGGTGGTGTCATGACGGTGCCAGGCAGATGGTGCCAATCACAGCTGGTGAAGAATTGGTACACACTTAAATTACTGATATTGAGAGTAATTATACATAACAAATATAATAAATATATATAGAAATTATTAATGGAAATTCCCTCAGTGACTGGGAGTATGTTAGAGAGTCACGCTCTAAATGTCCTCCAGTCCTTGCTGACCGGTTTCCAGATAAAACAAAAACACTATTCAACGCGTTAAGAAATCACCAGCAAGTAAAAATACAGTAAAAGATATAATATCAGGATGAAAACAAACACAACTGACTAGCTAACAAAGACATTAGGTTCGTGCAACTTTCAGTGTTCTTGTTGAGAGCATCATCATCACTTGGCCATTATTGCTCGATTATGTTGGGCGATGGAACCCTGGAGTTGTCTAATAATTACATCATAACACGGGTTTATTGTAATTATACTCTGAATGATTCAAACGGTAAGGGGCTAATAATCATATAATGCTCAAAACAGAACAACTACAGTTTCGGCAACAGTGATTTTTACAATTCTGTCGACCTTCACGGATGCATTACAAAATACAGGACACAATAACAGATAATGTAGTCGTCTAATTTAAACAACATATAACGAAATTTATCATGAATGTTCAACAAATTTTGCCGCGCCGCTGAACTGTGCTGTTCCAACTGAGCCGCGGATTTCCTTGAATCAAACTCCTTATAAATAGACGTAGCGTTAATGTTTTCTAAATTTGACAGGAATAAATAGGCCCTTTTTCTGTGACAGTAAATCTTTAATAATCATGGGGAACCCCCCTAGCCGTCGGGGGGGGGGGGGGATGACGACTGAGTTGACGGCGCTCGGGATTCGTAGTCCTAAAGTTCCGGGTTCGATCCCTGGCAGACGCGGAAACAAATGGGCGAAGTTTCTTTCACCCTGATGCCCACTGTTCACCTAGCAGTAAACAGGTACCTGGGAGTTAAACAGCTGCTATGGGCTGCTTCCTATTGATGTGTAACAAAAAAGGAGGCCTGGTTGAGGCCGCGGCCAGGTGGGCCGCGGGGACGTTAAGCCCCGATATCACCTCAAGATAACCTCAAGATAATCTCAAGTATCCAGCTCAGAGTATCGAGGCTTTCTCGGCTGACTTGTTTAATTCCACTCCATAGCTTTAAGTCACAATTTTTTATATACTCAGGTTTATATTTCTGAAAAAGTTTGAGCAAGCAATGATGCAGATTACATGAAAAAGACCTTATTGTGTTTGCTGGATGATAGATTCCTTTCAGACAAAAAAAAAATAATTAATTTGTGAATTATTGAAGTACAGATGTGACCAACAGGCCAGGCAGGCAGGAGATTGTATTGAATGTTAGGAAGAACATCTAGGATCCGCCTTTAAATTTCCTGTATACTCACTTTAGCTTACCAAGGTCAGTATTGTCAAGATCCCACAGTTCATAACCAAACAAGTTTGGTTTCATAACCAAACCATTCACTGTTAAATAACTTTCGACCAGATTTCAAGATGACCTGAGTCACTCAATAGGGCCTTAGAGGAGATAACATAACCCAGATCTGTCTCGCAATATTTTACTGGAATATCCCTGCCTTTCCATTCTGGTTCCCAGTGGCTGCTGGGTGCACCAGGAACGCTATTGAAAGATCACAGTCCAGTCGTACCCTCCTACCCTGGGGTTCGAACCAAGGTCTTCTCGTTTGCGGTACGCGTGAGCAAGGGTGCTAACCACTACACCCCAGGATGGTGTGCTAGCGCTATTTGGTATTATGGTAATTATAATTATATTTAATTATATAGCTTTTGCTTATTAATTTATATTTGGCTACTGGACCATCGGGGCGGACACTGCTGGTATACACACAGCAGGTGACATTGTTCGGCAACTATTGCAAGATTTTCTGCCCGATTTTTACTTAGGCTTTGTAGTGCTGCTTTTTTGGTGAGTCCACTCACAAGATGAGTGGCGCTGCCCAATACTGTCACTATGGCGGTGTGTCCACTCACAAGATGAGTGGCGCTGCCCAATACTGTCACTATGGCGGTGTGTCCACTCACAGGATGAGTGGCGCTGCCCAATACTGTCACTATGGCGGTGTGTCCACTCACAAGATGAGTGGCGCTGCCCAATACTGTCACTATGGCGGTGTGTCCACTCACAAGATGAGTGGCGCTGCCCAATACTGTCACTATGGCGGTGTGTCCACTCACAAGATGAGTGGCGCTGCCCAACAAACTCGCCCCTCGGGGCAAAATTTAAAAATTTAATGTTTGGCAAGCAACCCGTTCTCTTATTTTCCTGGCCAGAGCGGAACACTGATGCATGAGGACACTGAAGACAGAGAGCGGAGGCTGCATGTGTCTCATCAACATTACACCCATGTTGACCGCCCCGCAGAGATGCCATTACCATTATCATAACCATTAACGTTACACGGGGAGACGCCAAGATCTCGCCAAGTTTAAATACTCATACGAGGGTTAATATCAATGTTTTATGTGTCTTTAATTGCAAGAGAATGTTGTAATTAGTTTAATTGAATCTTAAAGGCGGTAATAGCAACGTGGGGGGGGGAATATTTACTATAGGAAAGAGAGCAGAGCTGTAGCCAGCAGCCGCTGCTGGCGCCAGGTGACCTCTACTGGTGCCAGGGGACCTCTACTGGTGCCAGGTGACCCCTACTGGTGCCAGGTGACCTCTACTGGTGCCAGGGGACCTCTACTGGTGCCAGGTGACCCCTACTGGTGCCAGGTGACCTCTACTGGTGCCAGGGGACCTCTACTGGTGCCAGGGGACCTCTACTGGTGCCAGGTGGGCCCTACTGGTCTCAGGTGACCTCTACTGGTGCCAGGTGACCCCTACTGGTGCTAGGTGACCCCTACTGGTGCCAGGTGACCCCTACTGGTGCCAGGTGACCTCTACTGGTGCCAGGGGACCTCTACTGGTGCCAGGGGACCTCTACTGGTGCCAGGGGACCTCTACTGGTGCCAGGGGACCTCTACTGGTGCCAGGGGACCTCTACTGGTGCCAGGGGACCTCTACTGGTGCCAGGTGACCCCTACTGGTGCCAGGTGACCTCTACTGGTGCCAGGTGACCTCTACTGGTGCCAGGGGACCTCTACTGGTGCCAGGGGACCTCTACTGGTGCCAGGGGACCTCTACTGGTGCCAGGGGACCTCTACTGGTGCCAGGGGACCTCTACTGGTGCCAGGGGACCTCTACTGGTGCCAGGGGACCTCTACTGGTGCCAGGTGACCCCTACTGGTGCTAGGTGACCCCTACTGGTGCCAGGTAACCTCTACTGGTGCCAGGGGACCTCTACTGGTGCCAGGGAACCTCTACTGGTGCCAGGGGACCTCTACTGGTGCCAGGGGACCTCTACTGGTGCCAGGGGACCTCTACTGGTGCCAGGTGACCCCTACTGGTGCCAGGGGACATCTACTGGTGCCAGGGGACCTCTACTGGTGCCAGGGGACCTCTACTGGTGCCAGGGGACCTCTACTGGTGCCAGGTGACCCCTACTGGTGCCAGGTGACTCCTACTGGTGCCAGGTGCCAATTCCCCCCCCCCCCTCAGTGAGAGCCACCCCTGCATGGCCCTCTCGCTGCTGGTATAAATACCTTCACCGGCCAAATCGGGCTGGCTGTCTATGAATTATTAAACCCCGTTTTCTGTTGGAAGACATTGCCTTTTGAGGGGGTACGAGTGCTAGTTGGTCAGGGTTGGATTAAAACAACTATGCCTAGGACCGCAGTGAGTAGGATTCGAACCTACGCGGGAAGATCCCATCTGATTTCTAGTCAGACGCCTTAACCACTCGGCCATCACTGCTTGAAATAAGGTGGTTGGTATGCCTGTTATTAACTGAACTTAACGTGATTTTTTTAATGTGCATAATATTTTTATGATTTCCCATTTTTTGGATAAGAAGCCTATTAGACTTATGGACATCATCGACTGATATTTCTCAGGATGCTACCCACAACAGCTGCCTAGTTCCTGGGTACCTACCCATTACTGCAATGATCACGTGAATAATATGATATAAATAATTTGGCATAAATAATTGTTTATTTTTAAGTTATTTATTTATATGATATATCATTAAACGAAGTCTGCAGCCGTGAGGACTGAGTTGATTCTTTTACTGACCAAAAGTTGGAAAGGCGAGGGATGTGATGCCGTCTTGTGAGCTCATCTAGATAAGAACATCTAAGACCCGAGAATAGTTTCAAAGTAGGAAGGCGAGTCAAGTACATTATGAGTGGTGTGAAGGATAGATGAAATTGTTTATGAAATAATCTAAGATGAGGTCTGATAAAGACCTTTTGTGCCCTCTGTAATGCTTTTGCGCTACCGCTCACAGGATGAGTATGGGGTGCACAATAAACTAGCCGCCTTCGACGGCAACAATCAAATCAATGAGTTTTTTTTTTTTTTTTTTTTTCTACCACAGACGTGGCCAGACATTCAATGAGTGGTGTATGACGGGGTTGATGAGGGCCGGATGAGACAGTACCGGGGACGCCAGTATGGCTCAAATCATTTATTAAAAGCTTCTGTGTTTATGAGAAACAGGTGACAGCTTAAACGATGCAGGACGACCAGGAGCTAGTGGCTAGACGTTATGGCAAGCTGAGGAATAATGAATTCGAACGTCTAAAAGGGAGGGAGGGAATTATCAGAAGAAAAGCGCCAAGCCATTACGACTATATAGCACTCGGAAGGGATCTGGATAAGGATTTAAGGCTGGGATTGGGGGGAAAGGAATGGTACCCAACCACTTGAACGGTCGGGGATTGAACGCCAGACCTGCATGAAGCGAGACCGTCGCTCTATCGTCCAGCTCAAGTGGTTGGGGCGAACGTCTAGGAAGAAAAACACATTCACTAATTAGATAAAGGCTGCTGTAAGCCCATGAAGAGTTATGGACGCCATCTCCATAGTGAACGTTAGATAAACACCCATTTTGTGTCCACCTTCGCCACTTCCTCTTCCGTTACCATCTTCGCCTCCACCACGTCTCTCTCCTCCGCTACTGCCTCTTCCACTCCAACTATCATCTCCACCACTTTCTCCACCGTCTCCATCACTACAACCCCCCCCCCATCACCTCTCCCTCATCGTCACTACTCTCCCAGATTGCGACCTGACCGCGTCGATACTGGAATCATTGGGCATCACTCCGTGGGATCAGATCCCGACGCCCCTCTCTCGCTAATGTTGACTAGTGTGCCCCTGAGCCCTCTTATGGTCGCTTCCGGATATATTTTGGAACCCCTCCAAATGAATAGATGTTTATTTTTTGTTTCGCATATGTATAAATCAAATAAATAAAACTTTATCCATAAATGACTGGATATTTATAACTGGGGAAGGTTTACATGAAAAGTACAGTACATTAATTTTATAGGAGGAGGGGGAGTAAGTTTCTACTTATCATATTGTTATTGAAGTTATGTTTTAAACTTAGCCGTTTGACCACATATGGAGGAGAGTGTGCGTACGTACTCACCAAGGAGGCAAACCTGTCTTCACGTTCTTGTGCAGTTCCCGTTCTCGCACTTGCTTATAGTCAATATTGACTTATTTAATAAGTGCATATGTGACATACTAATTGATTGTGAATATTTTAGTTTACCTTGAAAAGCTTCATAGAAAATACAGACCTCACCTAACCTTCTTAGTATGTTAAGATAAGCATCTTATTGCTTCTTATTCACAATTATTACATAACCTATCAACGGTATAGGTTAGGTAATAATTGTAATTAAGAAGCAATAAGATGCTTATCTTAACATACTAAGAAGGTTAAGTGAGGTCGGTGTTTTCTATGAAGCTTTTCAAGGTAAACTAAAATATTCACAATCAATTAGTATGTCACATATGCACTTATTAAATAAGCCAATATTGACTATAAGCAAGTGCGAGAACGGGTTGCAGTTCCCTGTGTCGTGCGATTATACATTAAATGTGTCCAATAATATTACCATTCTGGTCATTATGACTGTAAGAACTCTTGTATATCTAAATAATTATAAGGTAATAATTATACGAGGTCGCTCGCTAAACTCGATAACGAGTTACGGAAGCAGTTATATTGTTTATACATTTGAATAGATCTTCAAAGGTTGCCGTTGACACCTTTGTTTGATATCACTTTGACCCTCATCTCGCGTTAACCCATTTAACTTCTAAGACAAAAAAAAAACTCCACTCCCTCAGGGCCTACCTTGAGGAGTTTCCTAACCTGTTTTCCTTGGATAGGAAAACCACTCTTGTAAGTTATTTTCTTTAAGCTGTGTTTTCCTTAGTTCGCGCTGACGAAGATGTTTACTTCAGACAGCATCTTGTGAGATGCAACATGAAAACTTTGTTAATTTTTGAATGGTGTTGCAAGTGAAGAAGGATGACGTCATGGGTGGGTCCGACCACTGAGTGTGGTCTAAGCCCACCAGACTCTA